TTTTTTTTTTTTTTTTGAGACAGAGTCTTAAGCTGTTGCCTTGGGTAGAGTGCTGTGCGTCATAGCTCACAGCAACCTCCTACTCAAGCTCATGTGATCCTCTTGCCTCAGTTTTTCTATTTTTTACTAGAGATAGGGGTCTCACTCTTGCTCAAGCTGGTCTCAAGCCTTTGAGCTCAAGCTATCCACCCACCTCAGCCTCCCAGAGTACTAGGGTTACAGGTGTGAGCCACAGTGTCTGGCTGTGGTTTTTGTTTTTATACAGTGCACATGTTAAATTTCTGATGCTAGAACTTTTTTTGTCTGAAAGAGAACTTTACTGCTGCAGTATCACAGCATTCTGTTTCTCCACGGAGCAGGCCCTTTCTGTTTTAGCAACTACTAGTGTGCATCAGGGATTTTCAGGAGCTTTTTGGTTTTTGGTAGCAAAAGCTCTTTTTCAAGTGAAATTTTATGTATGACCCTGAAATGTAAATCAGTAAGTAATGCTTTTTATCTGGGAGTTTATTTTGTAAGCTGAGGTCCATTACCTTAATGTATTATAGGAAGTAGCAGCATAGCCAGATGGCTGAGAGCTCAGACTGGACCCCTATTATATACCTTTTATCCTGGCTCTGCCCCTTACAGGTTGCTAATGTGAACTTGGGCAAGTTTCTTAATTTCTCTGGGCTTCAGTTTCTTTGTGTGTAAAACAAAAATGCTAATATTGTCTGCCTCATGAGATTGTCATAAAGAGGAATGAATGGGAACGTGTGAAGCACGTGCACTAGTGCTGGTGCAGGCCGGTGCGTGCTGTGCACTGTCCTGGGCCACTGCTGCAGGCCTGGTGCTCTGCATGTGCCGTGTTGGGCTGCCACTATAGGTTGTCACAGAGGGAATCTGTGGGATACTGGCACAGGTCGGGTGCTGTGCTGTGCGCTATCCTGGGCCTCGCTGCACTGCTGTCACAGAGGGAATCTGTGAGATCCTGAGCGTCACAGGTGAGGTGGTCATCTCCTGCCAGTCTTGCAGGCATCTGATTTATAGTTACACTATTCTGTTTTGGTTGTATAGTGATTTTAGACAATTCTGCTTTGTGCAGATCATTTCAAAACAGCTTGACTTGCAAATTTCAGAATGCTTTTTACTAAATGACCAAGAAGATTAAAGAGGAGTTCTAGTTATTGGTGTCAAAGTTAAAACATTAGCATTTTAACAACTACTTCCTAATTAATGAAATGTTTACAATAAATTCAGAATTTCTTAAATAAAGATAAGTTAGACAAGAAGCATCTGAAACTTGTAACTTTCTGAAAAGTATCTCATTGTTACAGTGCAGTGCATCATGTACATCTTTGTTCCTTTTTTATTTCAGCAGTTTGCTTTTCTAAATGGTGAGCAGTGTGCCTGCATTGCAGCAGTCTGTCCTAGATCTGGGCTCTGGGTCTTATCATCTCTGGTGTGCTTGTGACATTCAATGAGGATGCTGTGTGATGGGGCTGTGAGCAGAGTGCCTCTTCCAGGCATGCCCACTGCCACGTGGGAGGAATTGGGATCTGGTTGTGTGTGGATCCCTGGTCTTGCAGTTGGGGCAGTGCAGTCCCACTTGCTCTAAGACACAGGTCCTGTGTCTGCTGTACCCAGAGAGGGCCCAGCCTTCAGAGCAGCACTCTTGGCCTCCAGGAAGGGCCTCTGGGGCCCCAGGGCTGCCTGGAGTTGGCAGCAGAGGGTCCTCATGGTGATGTTATCACAGTAAAGGACTCAGGTTCAGATGCATCACACACATCTGAGAATATATTTAATAGTCATATTTTTTTTTTTTT